TTACTTGCTGTTTGTATTTCTTAATTTGAGAAGTGTGTATTTCTCTCAGATGTCCATTTTTGTAGTGGGTCTTTAAATTTGGTTTAAAGACTGATTTTAAACCAAAGGCTGATTTTTTTTTTTTTTTTTTTTTTAGTTCTTTATATGTTCTTGATAATAATCCTTTGCCTGAGGAACATCTGGTAAACATTTTTTCCCACATTATGGGTTGTCTCTTTGCTCTGTTGGTGGTTTATCTTGCTGTGCAAAAGCTTTTTAATAAGATGAGATCCCAGTTGTTGATTCTTTGTGATAGTTCCTGTGTGACTAGGGTTTTATTCATAAAGTCTTTGCCTACACCAACAAGAATTTTACCTATTGTATCATCCAACAGATTTAATGTTTCTGTCTTAATATTTAGATACTTGATCCATTTCGAATTTAGTTTAGTGCATGGTTCACCCTTGCGCAGGGGCCATGCTAATCTTCTCTGTATTGTTCCAGTTTTAGTATTTGTGCTGCCAAAGTGAGCACTCACGATGGCTTTATAGAATAATTTCAAGCCAGGGATTGTGATGCCTCTTGCCTTACCTTTGCTGCCCAGAACTGCCTGATTCTGTATCTCTTCTGGTTCCACATAAATTTTAGGATTATTTTCTCTAATTCTGTGGGAAATGCTGTTGGAATTTTGATTGGAATTGCATTAAATCTGTATAGCAGTTTTGGAAGTATGGCCATTTTCACTACATTGGTTCTTCCTACCCAGGAGCAAGGGATATCTTTACATTTTCTGATATCTGCTTCAGTCTCCTTTTTCAGGGTACTATAGTTTTCAACAAAGAGGTCTTTTACATCCTTCATTAGATTGATTCCTAGGTATTTCATTTTTTTGGATGCTATTACAAAAGGTGTTGTTTCCCTAATTTCTCTCTCAGTGAGTTTGTTATTCATGTATAGGAAGACCACTGATTTTTGAGCGTTGACTTTGTAACCAGCTACACTACTGAATTTGCTTATTGTAACTGTGAATATTTTTTTGTTTGTTTGTTTTTCTCCGGTACTGGGAACTGAACTCACGACCTTGCGCTTGCCAGGCAGGCGCTTTGCCGCTGAGCTAAATCCCCAGCCCCCTGAATTTGCTTATTAAATCTAGCAATTTTTTTGGTGGAATTTTCTATGTAGAGCATCATTCATCTGCAATAATGATAGTTTAACATGTTCCTTTCCTAGTGTTATTCCTTTTATTTCTTTCCCTTGGCTAATTGTTGTGGCTAAAGTTTCCAGGACTATGTTGAATAAGAGTGGAGACAGTGGACATCATTGTCTTGTTCCTGATTTTAGATTGAAAGCTTTCAGTTTTCATCCATTTAGTAGGATGTTGGCTGTTGGTTTGCTATGGATAGCTTTCTTTAGATTGAGATAAAGACAATCTATTCCAATTTTCTGTAGGGTTTTTATCATGAATGGTGCTAGACTTTGTCAAAACCTTTCTCTGCATCTATTGAGATGATCATATGATTTTTGTCCTTGGCTCTGTTAATATGGTGTATTACATTTATTGATTTATGTATGTTGAACCATCTCTGCATTCCTGATATGAATCCTACTTGTTCATGGTGTATAACCATGGTGATTTGCTGCATTCTGTTTCACAGTATCTTACTGAGGATTTTTGCATCTATGTTTATTAGGGAGATTGGCCTCGTAGTTCTCTTTCTGGCTTTGGTATTAGGATAACGCTTGCTTCCAGGAATGAATTTGGGAGTATTGCTTCCCTTTTAATTTCATTAAAGAGTCTGAGAATTATTGGTGTCAAGTCTTCTCTAAATTTCCTGTAGAATTCAGCAGTGGCTCTGTCAGGGCCTGGACTTTTCTTTGTTGGTAGGTTTTTAAATTACATTTTCAATTTCATTGATTGATTGTTTTATTTAGGATTTCTATACCTTCTTGACGCAGCTTTGGCAACTTGTATGTGTCTAGGAATCTGTCCATTTATTCTGCATTTTCCATCTTATTAGAATGCAAGTTTTTGAAGTAGGTGTAGATGATCTTCTGGATTTCTGCAGGGTCCATTGTGACTTCACCCTTTTCATTCCTAATTCCATGGATTTGAGTCTTTTCTTTCTTTTTTTGATAAGATTGGCAAGGAGTTTGTTGATTTTATTTAACCTTTCAAAGAATCAACTCTTTGATTCATTGATTATTTGTATTTTTTAGTCTACAATGCATTAATTTCTTCTCAGATCTTTATAATTTCTTTCCTCCTATGAGCTTTTGGCTTAGTCTGCTCTTCTTTTTCTAAAAATTTGAGGACAAAAACTGAAAGCTTTCAATCTAAAATCAGGATCAAGACAATGATATCCACTGTCTCCACTCTTATTCAACATAGTCCTGGAAACTTTAGCCACAAAAAACATTATGTTTCTCCATCAGTTTTAAAGATAGTTTTGTGGGGTACATCAATCTGAGTTGAAGGTTGTTTTCCTTTAGATCTTGAAATACTCCCTTCTAAGGACTCCTTGACTTGAGAGTTTGTGCTGAGAAATCAGCTGTTATTCTGATGGGTTTTCCTTTATAGGTGATGTGTTTCTTTTCTCTAACAGCTTTTAATATTCTATTCTTGTGCTGAATTTCTGGAATCTTGATTATGATATTCCTGGCTGTAGATTTTCCTTTTGGCCATGGCCAGTTGGAGTTCTATATGCCTCATTTACTGTATGTCAAATTCTTTTTCTCTACCAGGGAAGTTTTCTGCCATGACATCTATGAACAGTTTTTTTTTTTTTAAATGTCATTTGAACTATCACCTGCTTTTTTCATTGTCTCAAATCAATTATTTTTCTTTGCATCATCCAGCAGCTGCTGTATTTTTTTTTTCTTTTTTTCTTTTTTGTCTTTTCTTCCGGTACCAGGAATTGAACTCATGACCTTGCGCTTGCCAGGCAGGTGCTTTGCCACTGAGCTAAATCCCCAGCCCCTCTGCTGTATTGATTTCTCATGGTCTCTCACTATTTTTAAGAAATCTTTCCTTTCGTGTTTGCTAGCTGCAAGCCTGTCTTCTATATCTGAGATCCTGTCCTCATATTGGTTTAATGTACTGTGAATACTTTTAGTGGAATTTTTATTCTCCTGGATATCTGCTTAAATCTGCCTTGGATTCCATTTCTTTCCTATGCTGAGCATTCATGGCTTCCATAATTTTCTTAAGCTCCTCTGTTTTCTTGTCTGTATCTGCCCTAGAATCACCACGGTTTTCATTATGGATGCCATCTCTTCAATTATCTGAGAAATTATTTCTGATTTGATTTTTTCTAGAGCCTCATTCAATTGCTTTGTTGTTACCACTTCAGAGATGCCAGGTGGATGGTTTCAGATTGTCCCACCTCACTGCCCCCTGGGTTTGCCTTTGGTGATGCTTGACATTGCATCTTGTTTAAGTGGCTCCTTATTTTCTTTTCTTTCTTTTTTTTAGTTTAATTCCTGGGGTGATGTTTGTGAATTGCCTATAGTGTGTTGCTTTTTTGCGAGTATTTAGAACCCTTGGGAAGTGACTACTTCTTTTAGTTATCTCCCAGGTATAGCTGGTTTTTGGTTTTTGAGGCTCCTGTAAAATCCTACCTCTTCAATTTGTTGGGGCCTGTTTGCCCCAAACAATGGTCTTTGGCACTGTGCCACAGTATTTTCTGTGACCCTTAGTCAGTCTCAGTCTTGGACTATCAGGAAGAACAGCTGTCTAGAATAATTATGTCCCTTTTGGCTACAGTGGTACCAAAAACAATAACATAAAACACAGTCTAGGAAATGACAGACTAAAATAACCATTAATTTGCCACCTTTAACCATATTAATTAGATTTGTGGTTATATAATAAAATATAAAAAGCCCAGAAAATTGTATGCAGTATGCAAGTCCTTACTATGTCAATTTTTCCCTCAGGAGTTAAAATTTAAAATGGGTTAGGGAGAAAATACAGAAGTGGAAGAGGAAGAGATTAGAAGGCTGGAGGACAAAGGGGAATCATGCTATCTTCGGGAAACTGGTGCAGAAGACTGGAGGGAGAGAAGGAAGAGATACAAAGGAGAACTAAATGGTGCTACACCACCAAGAGGCTAGATACCATGTTCAGAGGCATATAAATACAAGTTCCAACAATGAAGGAGAAAGAAAAAACAAACAAAAACAAAACAAAAAACAAATAGAAAACAAAACAACAAAAAACAAAAGCAAAACTACAACAACAACAACAACAAAAAAGAAACAAGAGAGAGAGAGGGAGAAAAAAACTCCTCTTGCAGGTTTGTCTCTGCTGTCACTGGTAAACAACATATGAAGACAGCGTCCTGATACGTGTTGATTTATCTTAAAGAGCCAGTGAGCCTGCACCGTCTGGCAGCTCGCAGCCATCAGCACACCTTCCTTGGGCCTATCCGTCCCGGTTCCTGGCCAATCACGCTCTTGCGCTGGATGGCTGAGCCTTGACACTCACTGTTAGTGCAGTCCTTCGTGCCCGCTGCTCCCCTCCACCACCGTGTCTCTCCTGGAGGCCTCTGGAGTCGCCAGCACTCACAGTGTGTTGGAAGGTTTGGACCGTTCCTCTCGAGCAGTGTTTCCATCTCAGGGAGTAGGTGCTGTTAGCTACCTCCGCCTCCTCCTCCATCGAAGTTTCTCCTTCACTCTCTCTCTGGGCTTCAATTCATGCCTCCGTTCCTGGCTCTCAGGGGACTCACTTCCCTCCTTTTTTTTTGAGACAGGGTCTCACTATGCGGTTCAGGCTGGTCTTGAGCTCACTTTGTAGCCCAGGCTGGTCTCAAACTCAACAATCCCCCTGCCTCAGCCTCCCAAGTGCTGGGATTACAGGCATGTGCCACCACGCCTGACTACTTCCCTTCTTCATGTCCTCCGCGTTGCTATATTCCAGCACCTGGACGGCAACTCTCGGAGAGGTTCTTTCTTTCTTTGTGGCTTCCCACTCTACCATCTCTCCCTTCTCTCAGGGTTGTTCCTTTATCATCTCATCTTTGGGGTGCAAATCCTTTATCATATATACGTGTTTTGCAGAGGTTCAATCTCTGAAGACAGTATGCCTCAAAACAACTGTTTTTCCACCACACATTGTAGTGTACACACACCTGTGATCATGGCACTATGGAGGCTGAGGCAGGAGGATCATCGTGAGCTTAAGGCCAACCTGAATTGCATAGTACACGGTGAGACCCTGTCTCGAAAAAAACAAAAGAAAGAAAAAAGAACTGCCTTTCCAGTGATCTTCAGAGACATGGCATTGCTCCTGCCAAGGGTGTGATGTGGAAGAGCCGGGTCTGAGCTTCTCGGGGCTCAGGGGCGCACGGTGCATCCAGTGCTGAGAGGTTTCCCTTGCAGGTCGTCTGAGTCCCGCTTCCGTCCGACACAGAGTGGAAGCCTTCAGATGGTTGGCAATTCATCAAAACAGCACATCCGTCTCCCACCTGCCTGTGTCTTATGACCTTCACTGTGTCACCTACGATGTCCCTGCCATGCGGTCTACACTTGTCCTTTTCTTTTGGTGCTGGGAGCTGAACTCAGGACTTTGTGCTTGCCGGGCAAGTGCTGTATAATAATGCTGAGTTAGATCCCTGGCCTCCCTACTTGTCTTTTGTCTAGAATGCAAAGCCCAGAGAACTCGGTGAGGTTTGTCGCTGCCTCCCACCACCTGCAATGGGACCTGGCACCCAGACGGTGCTCAGGAATCGCTGGAAATGTGCTGCAGCGCCCACCCACTCAGCAGCGCTGCTCCCCGGAGGAGGCCCAGCAGCGTGGCGCCCTCGCCCGTCACCACTGCCATCAGTCCATCGTTTCTACTTACCGGAAGTAATGCTTAGCCATCAGCAGCATCAAAATGAGTGAGAGCAGGAACAGCACTTTTTTAGGTTTCATTCTCTCCTAGGGCAAAATGGGAGGAAAAGGCATGGCTTGAGCCACTCTTGGGCACTGCACGGAGAGGATGACAATCAGAACGCGACCGGCAGCCCGAAGGATGTGGTGGAGGGGCCTGACACGAGCCAAGCCGAGTTGTCTGAAGGTGCCGAGGGGAAGCTGAGGTGTCTGTGCCCATGGTGACCTCTGCGGCCTCTGCAAGGGGTTGGTGTCTGACCTTGGGCCCTGAGCTCACACGGGACTCGCGTCTGTGTGCCCGTGACCCCAGCTGACACATCCCCACAGAAGCGTCTCTGAGATGTCACTGCTGAATGCTCCCTGAGCCAGGGTGGTGGTGTGGGCCCCGAGCTCGCTGGCTGTGGAGGTGGAGGACCCTGGGTCCAGCCCTCCACTACTCCTGCCTGGCACTGTGCTGACTTGGGGGCCGTCTGAGTCTACTCCGTGCAGTAAGGCTGACTGCAGAGAGCCAATCACCTGCTTCTTTTGACCCCAGGGCCGAGGAGCATGGTGGACACTGGACATGGCCAATGCAGCTCACATCTCACTCTCCACAGCCCGCCCTGGAGAGGCCATGGCAGGGCAGGTCCTCTGTGCAGTTTGGAACTGACCACCTTTTCCATTCTGGGGCAGCAAGTGGCTGGGCTTACAGGCCCCTCTGGGCGGCCTCTCCAGTGTGGCCTCCTCTGTGGCAAGGTCCCCCATCCAATGCTTGTCCTGCACCTCCTCAGGTCAAGCGCCAGGGATGGTTCCCACCTGTCAGTGCAGCACAGACACCCAGACTTCGCACCCCCTCCTGCCTCCCCTCACCTCCATCAGGGAGACCTCAGCCCACCAGGATGAGCATTATCCAAGGACAACTGCAGAGGACCCTAGTGCTGCTCTGGAGGTGCAGAGTCTCAGCTGTGGTGATGTCCCCAGGCTCCTTTGATGATGCGGGCGTTGCTGTGGCAACCACCAGGAGGTTCTGGTCACGTGTGCCAGACCTGGCCTTTGGTCCCCCTGGAAGCACCGAAGCTGGCAACCCATCTTAAAGTGTTCCTGGGCTTTCTGATTCCTTTGTTGCGCCTGCTTGCTTTCTAACGACCAATTCTGATTTGTAAAGGAGAGATATTTGGAGTAACGCGCACGGAAGTGCTGATGTGTGTGATGGGCAAGAGTAGCAAATTCAGAAAAGAATTTATTTGTGTCATACAATATTTTATAAATAGAGAAAGATAAGCTATTTTATACTAAACTAAAAATGTAAGTGTATTTTTAAAAAACCCTGAATGGTTCTAGTATAATCATGTTGCCATAGCTGTTGTGCTAAATGCTGTGTTTTTTTGCTCTATATTTAAAATTTTCCCTGTAAAACTTTGTAACTGTTATCTGATAACATTCTACACAAACACGACCTCTAACAGACAACTGAGGAAGTATGTTAAGGTCATAAACCATTACCCAGGGTGCACATGAAACATGACACCAGTTCCTGACACTAACGCCAACTTACGAATGGAAGAGGTCGCTGCTCCTGGTCACACTTCTCTTTCTCTCTCTCTCTCTCTTTTTTTTTTTTTTTGTCTTTTTTGAGACAGGATTTCACTCTGCAGTTCAGGCTGGCCTTGAACTCACAAAGTAGCCCAGGCTGGCCTTGAGCTCATGGCAATCCTCTTGTCTCTGCCTCCTGAGGGCTGGGATTACAAGCATGTGCCACGGTGCCCAGCTGGTGCTTCTTCTTTCCAAGTACCCAATATTTGAAAAAGATTCTAATAGCTGGGATTAAAGCCTGCTGCTTCTACTTCAAGACTGGTGCAGCTGAGCTGGGTGTTCAGCCACCAGGGCTTACAGGTCAGAGAGAAAAATGGTGACTGGGTAAGAGGACGACCAAGATTTTGGCCCTGGTCCCCCAAGGTCAACAAGGACCCAGGGTAGAAGGAGACCCTCTAAAGGCTCCATGACTCAGGGGAGTCACTCAGCCTCCTGAGCAGGGAGATTGTCAGACCCCAGAGCACGGCAGTGTGCACTGTGCTCACACCAGGGTCACAGAAGAGGAGCACACGTGTCTTCATGCCTCCACGGGAGGCCACATGTCAAGCTGACACAACTGGGGAAGACTATGGAGGAGCCGAAAGGTTCTGCATATGGCTCAGCAGTTACCACTGAGGAACCTTGACTGACCTCGACAAAGGGAGGGGGGGAGAGAGACAGAGACACAGAGAGAGACAGAGACAGAGACAGAGACAGGCTTCACTTTGACTTGGTCTTAGACACCCAGCAGGCAAATATAACCAAAAATATATACACTATCTGAGAGAAACCGTATGGTATCTAAGCTTGTGTGTCTGGTTTATTTCACTGAACATTGTGATGTTGAGCTGCACCCATTTTCCTACAAAGGACCCAGGTTTGTCCTTGTGGGAGAGCAGTACGTCACCGTGTGCGAAGACCACATGATCTTTATCCGTTCACCTGCTGATGGACACGGGGGCCACTTCTAAGATTCAGCTACTGTGAGTTGTGCTGCTAAAAACAGGGGTGTGCATATTATAAACAAAGAGCAAAGTGAAAGATGAGAAGCGGGAAACAGATGCTTCTCGCAGGGGAAGGGATCGAGGGAGGGAGGGAGGGCTGAGAGCAGGGATGAAGAGGTGCCGTGTGCGTGTGCCGCCTCCGCACAGGACTGTGAGCTTTATGGACGCACATATGGACTATGCGGGACACTGACGCAGACAGAGTAACAGTAGTGTGGAATTAAAGCCAGGCACCTGCACATTGACCCTGTGTGTGTCTGCGGGCTGGGCTGTTGCTCCAGCTCACACACCTGTGCGGGGCCTTGCGGCCCTGAAGCCTCAGCCTGCGGCCTGCCACAGTCTCAGGCTCTGCTGTTCTCCAGGGCTCTGTGTCTGCTCCCCTCCTGCAAGGGCACCTCAGCTCAGCCTACATTCCAGGGCCTCCTCTTTGTTCACCTTCGTGACAGCGTCTCCCCGGAAGGTCACCTACCAGGGGCCGAGCTCAGAGCACCACACAGCCCCAGCACCCACAGCTCTGTCCCAGCTGATCATGTCTCAGGTGGTGCCATCGGACGCCCTTCGGCACCTGAGCACCAGGAGGCCATCCCTCACCCCAGCCAGGCTCGTCTGCCAGTGGCACCGGACTCTGTTATACAATTGGACAGAACTCCTGGGCTCAAACCTGAGAACACTTTGGTGACAGGGAGAACTGTTCCCCTGCCTGGGCAGGGTGACCCGCTGCCAGCAGGTGTCAGCACCACGCACAGCCCTGTGCGTGTCAGCCCTGGCTCAGGGTGTCCCCACCTCCGCCTTAGGCCTGAAACAGAGGGCACCTGTGTCCAGCGGGGCCAGAAGCGCTGGCCACATCAGGCAGGGCTGACAGAGGCTCTGGGAGCCCCCAGTCATCCGCTCCCCTCACGCGACCCCACCTGTCCTCTGACACTGCCTTGACCCCTGCTGAGGCCCTCAGGCCTGCCTGGACCTGCCTGGCTGGACAGCACTCCAAGACCAGAGAAGGAGGCCCTGCACCGGGGAGGGGATAGACACTTGTGTGGGTTCCTCCTAAGTAGGGGTGCTATCCCTTTGGAATTGCAGCTTCTTAAAGCTTTCTTAAAAACACTGAGCTGGGTGTGGTGTTACATGCCTGTAATCGAAGCACTCAGGAGGCCGAGGCAGGAGGATTGCCTCAAGTACGAGGTCAACCTGGGCTCTGAAGGGAGACCCTGTCTCAAAAACGAACGAAAAGAACCCCCAAATATTAACAAGTTGTCAAGAAAAGTATGACTTGGTGGAGAGGAAAACTGATGTCCCTGGAAATGCCAGCACCTCTTTCCTTGGGGATGGGAAGGCTCCCCAGGACCCCGTGTCTGGGAGACAGGGCATCCCTCCAACATAGGGAGCAGAGGGGGCTTGTCAGGGAGGAAGCAGGTCCACAGGGCACCTGGAGCTTGGGAAGCCACACTGGGCATTTCCACCTGGCATCTTCAGTGCGTAGAGCAGGTGGAGCCCAGAGGGGTGGGAAAACTGGCGGAAATCTGCTACAGGGGCTCCTGGACCACCGGAAGCCCAGGCAGAGAGGTGCAGACCTCCTGGGGGGCAGGGTGCGAGCACAGGAAGAAAGACGCCCTGCACCACCTCCAGCCACCGTGGGCAGAATACGGGGGCCAGCGTGCTGACACTGCAACGCACCCTGCTACACCACAACTCCAGGACACTGGAGTTGGCGCCACCTCCCGAGCCCTCCTGCCAGGAAGGACGCAGGAGACAACCTCACGTCTGAGCCAGGGCTGTGTTCCTGAGGCTTTGCGCCCCAGACTCAGGACATTTGCCCTTCGCGGTCCCAGATGTCTCACTGTCTGTCTGTCTTTTTTGGCCACTTCGAGGGCTCCCCTGGACCTGGGCCTTCCCAGTTCTGGAGCTTCCTCCCAAGTCACTGTTACGTCCAGTGTGGCCCCTCTGCCCTGGCCTGACTTGAAGCCGGTGGGTTTAAAGTCCCTGGGAGCTTAAAGGTCCTGGACAGGAGACCCTGAGGCAGGCAGGAAACAGACAAGGGACTGAGGACCACCAGCAAGAGACGGAGTGAGGGCCTGAAACTCTGCATGGCCAGCACCCTCCCTCTGTCCCTTTCTGACACCAAGTCCAGTAGAGCCCATAGCTGCTCCTAGCCAGGCTGGGTGTGGTCGAGGGCAGCACTGCAGGGGCCCTTGGCTGAGATCCCGGCGGGCACAGGATGTGTGTGGATGGGCCGGAGACGCCGCCACCCCCGGGCTGCAAGGAGAGCGCAGAGCTGGTATAAAAGGTGGGTGGCTGGCCGAGTGCCCTCCGGAGACCATGGCGCTGCTCCTGCTTTGCCTGGTGCTGAGCCTGGCCTTGGCCCAGGAGTTCAACCCCAGGGAGATTGTGTACACCAACTTCAACCTGGCCAGGGTGGGACGAAACCCGCGCTCCTGCACTGGGGTCTCCGGCCCAGGCCCAGGACCGCTGCACAGCACCCCGAGCTGGGAGAGGGGACCTGAGCAGAGGGGAGGGAGGGGGCCGGGAGGGGGAGGTGCTGGGAAGGGGAGGACTGGTGTGGACGCTGGCCCTGGGAGAGAGGCCCCAGCATCACAGCCATCCCCCCCAGGTCGAGGGGCCCTGGTTCTTGATTTCCTTGGCCTCCAACAACATGACCAGGATCAGAGTGAACGGGGACCTGCACCTCTTCATCCGGAGCATCGAGCTCCTGGAGAACGGCAGCCTCATGTTTAATTTCCGCTTCATGTGAGTGTCGCCACAGTAGAGGAACTGGGGTGCCCACCCAGCCTGGACTTGCACATGCACACGCTTATACACACCCTAGCACACACACACGTGGGGGTCAAGATGGCAGGGGTTCGGGAGCCCGCTGGGTGAGGGCAGCCTGACACTGCTCTGCTGGGGCCCTCACACGGAGAATGGCCCCCTGTGCTGGGAGTGGGCAGGCTGGCCAGGGACACTTCCTGTGTGTCCCCCGGGGCTGGTGCCCCCTCTGAGGCTGCTGTGCGGTGTCCAGGCTGCACGGGGAGTGCGTGATTGTGACTGTGACCTGCAAGAAGACACAGAGGAACGGGGAGTTCTCCATCGTCTGTAAGTGGGGCTGGAGCCAGGAATTCCTTCCGCTAGGCCCACTTCCTTAGGGCCCACTGCTGGGCCAGGCGGGCTGGGCAGCCAGCTGCCATGCGGGGAGGTGGCACGCAGAGGCCTGGGGGTGCTGCATGCTGCTGTGCAGGGGCCTCCACCTGAACTGGTGCCCCTGCTCAGATGCCCTCAGCCCTTGAGGGGCCCTAGAGCTGTGTCTCATGCAGCCCACTGCATGTACGCCACAGTCCGGGGAGTGTGGGCCGTGCCAGGGCCGCACTGAGCCATGTCTCCGCACAGACGAGGGGGAGAACAAGGTGCTGATCTTGGAGACTGACTACTGGGGGTATATCATCTTCTACCTGCAGAACGTCCGCGACAGCGCCGAGACCCAAGTGCTGGCCCTCTACGGTACTGAGCCCTGCCTGCCAGGGAGACCAGACCTGGCTGGAGTGGGGGGTGTTGGGCTGCACAGCCCTGTGCCTGGGCAGGGCTCCCAGAATGGCCACGGGATAAAGCTTTAGCACCCTAATCCACCTGTTACGGTCCCCTCTGGTCAACGCGCAGCCCCCCAGGCTTCCCCAGACGTGGTCCCACATTTGTCCTCAGGGCGCATCCCAGTGCTTGACAGACCCTTCCTGGAGCGATTCAAAAGAGCCTGCAGCAAGTACGGGATGGGTCCAAGGAACACCATCGATGTGGCAGAGAAAGGTGGGCTCCCACACGCCCCAGGGCCTGAGGAAGGGGGCTGGGGGCCGGGGTGTGCCCACCAGCCCATCTAAGAGCCCTGTCTCCCCAGATCTCTGCATCTAGTAGAAGAGGAGCCGGCCCAGCCTTGAGGTGCATGAGCAGTGGCGCGCAGGACACGCAGCCTCAGGTGGTGGGGCAGTGGACCGGGCGGCTTGGGGTTCATGTCAGAGGCTGGGGTCCTAGCCCAGAAGGCTACAAGTGCCATTTTTCTGGGCCCACCTCTCACCTGGCTGCTGGGCTTTCCTGGGATGCAGAGCATGTGGTGGCTCCTGGGGCCTGGTGGGGATGGGATCTGGGCAGCACAGGACACCCGGTCGTAGGAGGCTGCTGGTCAGCGGCGTGCAGGACAGCGAGGACTTACTCTCTCGTAGCTCTGCAGCCTGCATGTCCAGGGCCCCGGTGTCACGAGGCCACAGGACGCAGGGCACTGGGCTGCTGGTGGCTCCAGTGTCCCCTGGCTTGCGGCCGGCCCATCCCAACCTCTGCCTCTGTCTCCAGAGCCTCCCGGATCTGTGTCTCCTCTTCCATCTCCAGTAACAGTGCCCGTCTTCAGGTCCAGGGCCCAGGCTGAGACTCGCCCCACCTAGCAGCCTACCTTGAGCACATCTGTAGGAAATCTTTTTCCAAATAAACCTCACCCTCGGGTCCAGGCATGAGGATGGGGATTATCTTTTGGGGGACACCGTTCAGCACCACTAGGTCCCTACTCAGGATAGGCTGTGGCCCCAAAAGATCACCCTCAGCGCCTCCTTCATTTCGCAGAGTCCACCCCAGAGTCCTTGCCTGGAGGCAGGGATCCCAAAGGCTCCGCTGTGTGCAGGTCCAGGGACCCACAAGCCTGATGGGCCCAGGGTGAGGCTGGGAAGGCCGAGCCTCACCTGCCCTTTCCCACATCCTGGCTGGGTTGGGGCCACCCCTCCATGCTATTCTGCAGATGAAAAGCAACTGTCCAAACGAGGGGACATGGCCCATGGCCCCCGACAGGCACACACCACACAAACTTGCTCCCTCCACGCCAGACCCACAAGCTGGCAGGGAAGGGAAGTGTGGACAGACCGTGACTCAACGGGGTACGGAGGGTGGAAAAGCCATCCCCCCACCCCATCGTCACAAATCTTCAAGGTGGCACAGGAAAGGCAGCTCCAGGGTCGGGGAGGGCAGTGGGAGGGTTCTGCATCATGCACGGGCCCTGCTCCTGGGGGCGAAATGCAGAGTTACACACACACACTCTCTCTCTCTCAGCCCTTGGCCCACCTGAACGGGGGGCTGTTCAGGGTAGGGCCAGTGGCTCTCGAGTGTCCCGGGCCTCAGCCCGCTGTGGCCAAGGGGAGGTGGGGAGGGGACGCTTGGGGCCACCCTGCAGTCCTCCTCGCAACTGCAGATGAGTCTCTGCCCTCTCTGCACACGAGGTCTGTGCTCCGGGCGGCTGACGGGGCCCCCAGCGCTCTCTGCCCACCCTGGGGTTCCTCACCCACCGCCAGGCCCAGGCCCCTTCATTGCCACCCAGGATCTCCTCCACCTGCTGATGTGCCCCGGGATCAGGGGCCTGTGAGAGTGCTCTGCCCTGCAGCCCTGGGTGAGGACGGGGCACCCGGAGAACTCTGCACTGGGGCTCAGGCTGGACCGACTCGGTGGTCCCTGCAGAGGTCGCTGCACAGCTCGCTTTGCCGGCAAAGCCCAGCGCCAGGGACTTCCGGAGAAGGTCAGGGCCAGGGCTCAGGTGGGGCCGTGGGATGGAAGGCAGGCATAGCCCGTTACCCCTGCTGGTCACCGGGGCAGAATGGCTGGCTGGCCGAGCCATGGTAGGGGACTTGCAGGAAGCTGCCTATGCATCAGGACCTGCTGGTGTGGAGAACTGGCCTGTGGGGGGTAAGGTGGGGGCTGCCATTGGGGGGGAGCTGCCCGGCAGCACATGGGGTCCTCACGGGCCCCCAAGAGGACCTCCTCGCCCACTCAGTGTGGAGCCGGCCTTGGCCTGCAGCTTCTGGCAGTCTCCACACGCATGGGGAACAAAGCCGGGGCAGGGCAGCTGGCCCTGTGGTCAGAGGATTGGGGCCCGGCGAGCCGAGGCAGCCATGGAGGGGACAGACGGAGCAGGCTGCAGCTGTGGCGCTCACCCAGCCCGAGTGCAGGGCGGTGCCGGGCCTGAGGCGTTTCCCGGAGCTTGCAGAGGAAGCCCCAAGAGGCCTGCGCCGCCAGCCCGTCCCTGTGGAGCCTGGGGGGGCGCCTTCGTCTTCAGCCTCAGTCCGTTCCGCGCACTGATGGCGGGTACCACGCCCCGCGCCCTTCACCTCCTTGGCTGAGGCTGTGGTCAAGCGGAGACTTAATCCACTTACGCACCGTCTGTCCGCGGCCCTGTGTGAGTTGGGGCCGCCCTTCCCCAACCTCAGCGCAGCAGGCACCGCCCCTCGTGCGACTCCCGGCCAGGGCTCCCACTGGCCCTGTGTGACCTGGGCCGGAGTCTTGAACTCTCTGTGCTTTGGTTTCTGCCTTTACCTTGGGGGCTCTCAGGGTGAGGATGTGATGGCTCACGAGGGCAGGGTGCTTCTGGGGGTGCTGGCTGGGGACCTGTGGGGTCTCACAGAGGTGACCGTCACATCATCCAGGAGATGTGGGTACAGGGCGGGGCTGGGGCTCAGCACACAGTGAGGGCTGCTGCACCTGGGGACAGTCCTGCGAAGCAGTGCACAGCACACGTCTCTGCTGGCCGTCGAAACCCTCCCTGCTAAGACTGAAGGTTAACATGTCAAGACTTCAGGGCCAGAACGCACCCAGCAGGGCTGTGTGGCTGTGGCCCTGGGGAGGGACACAGGCTTTGGAAGCAGGGAGGCCAGGTGTCCGGACACACTGGGAAGGAGCCTGGTCATCCACAGAGGAGGGAACAGGGGTCTGGGCCAGTGCAGCTGCCACCCGGGGCACAAGCAGACCTGAGATCCCCACAGCACCAGACGCCCAGGGATGAAAATTCTGGCCCTACCTTTATCAAAAACCGGGTTAAATAACCCTAAGTTATTGCAGGATGATCAGGCCTGCAATCTCCCAAGCGAGTGGACGTCAAAGGCTTAAATAAAATGCAGACAATATTATGATTTTAGGGCACCAGGAGGGACTAACTCCCTTATAGCTTCAGTATTCTCTGAGTTAGCCAAAGACTGCTCTGGGCGGCCCGTATTTATTTGGTTTTCAAACAAAGGAGGAAGATACTCAAGAAAACGTCAGAATCTTGCAGGACCTTGGGAGAATTTTCCCAAGTAGCAAATTACGTCAATCAGGAGAATTCTCTTATCTTTAGGTTGGTATTTATTGTAGGAGTGTGGGGCCTGCAGCTGCAGTCTCCTTGTAGTTAATTGGGGTTGGAGCCAAACGTCTTCAGCTGTGGCCTTATCTTGTCAGACAAGGTGCCTAAGCTTCCGACAACTCACAAGTAAACATGGAAAGCCAATTGATTAATATTAAATCCTGCTCAGAGCCACTTTGTAGTGGTCCCCAACATACCTCCTACAGCCAGGTCTCTCTCCCCTGTGGACATGAGGCCCCAGTGCCCCTCACCCAGAGCAGCTGGGAGGACTGAATTTCTGGCCAAGGAACCCGAGGATGGGGCTCCTAGGTGACCTGGAGGGCCCCACCTGAGCAGGTGGCCTCAGAGCCACAGGTGCATGTAGGGGGCAGCTCAGCGGTGCCCAGGGCCCCTTGCACCTCTCTGTCCCTGCTGCCCTCCCAGCCTGCACCCATAGGGCCTCACTTGGGGGAGGGCTGAGCCCAGAGTTCAGCTGTGGTGTTGGGGACCAGAAGGCAGCAGCTGGAGGGGGCCAGGTGTCGGGGTGCTAGGCTGGGGGAAAGCCCTGAGAAGGTGGCCCCACTGTGGCTCGGGGACATGGGGCAGCGTGGCCGAGACAGGAACTCAGGTTGCTCTGCCGGCCCTGGGCCCACGGAGATCCCTCAGGTGACCCATGGTGTCTGGTGACTGCACTGCAGGTGGCCTCCCAGGGTATGAGGCTCAAAGGTCACAGTGCCGCCCCCAGAGGGTGAGCAAGGACGGATGGGGCCCTGAGGTCAAAGGTGAGGACCAGGGCACAGGAACAGCCAGAGTGGGGATAGTGGTGGTGGGAGACAGGTGCTGGGCGTGGGGACGTCACACAGCTAGGCCCCTTGGTGTCAGGACCCCGACGTCTCTGGGGTAAAGGAGACAGGAGATGTTGAGGTTGGGCCCCAGGGACAGAATCACAGGATTCAGCAAATACAAAGGGGCCCTGGTTGGCCTCTGCGTCCACCTCTGCCTCCGCACCCACCTCTGCTGTTCTCATGGACAGAAATGTCCTCCTCTAACAAGACACCAGGCCTACGGGGGAGGCCACCCTATGCCAGTGTGAACCCATCTTCGCTGACTGCATCTGCGTGGCCCTGTGTCCACAGGTCACATTCTGAGGTTGGGAAATCACAGGCAACACAAAACAGACCCCGTTTCTGCAGCCCCGCTGGGCTCCTGCCCAGTCATCAGGAACCTGCACTGCCCACCCCGCTCCACCGCGCGCTCACTCCCAGGAGCCCTCTGTCCGCAGCCCGTGTCCTCTGCCGCCCCAGCTCACTCCAACGCCATGCGGGACCAGGAAATTGGTCCGTCCCAGTCCACTAATGGCTTTGGATGTGGGCTCCACGGGAACATGTCATTTTTGGCGTCAAGAGCAACAGAGAACAGACAAGGGCTGGCTAACGCCTCAGAGGTCCCTGAGGTGCAGCTGGAGCTCTTCTGTGTCCTGGCCACAGGGCTGTTTAGACAGCACCCCGGGGGCAGCAGGAGCTGGCTGCCACCACACCCAGACAGACCCAGCCGTGTCCTCAAACACGGGCCTTGCTGCTCTGCGGCCCCGGGCCCAGGGCAAGGGCCTGTTGCAGGTGAGTGCACATGGAGATGGGGCCAGGCCTGGGGCCACAAGGACAGTCTCACACCCAGGTGGTGCTACGGACAGGTGGACAGCACCTGCCCACGAGTCCTGGAGAGTCTCAGGCAGCAAGACCCTGGTGGAGCCTCTGCCACAGACCCAGGAGGACCTGCACGGTCAGGGCCTGGCTTAGCCAGGATGGCTGCAAGGAGCACTGGCATCCCGCAGGACACGGCTGGACCCGGGCTGGGGTGTGGGGCTCCATCCAAGAGGATGGCCGTGGGCTCAAGGGCAACGCTGGGGTCTGCAGCTCCTGCCCTGGCTTTGGCGGTTAGCCCAGGCCTCAACAGTGAGGCATCCAGGATCTGGGGTCAGCAGGGCTGGAGCTGGAGCCCTGCACTTCTGCCCCTCAACGGGCCACCCGGCCAGCTGATAGCCAATGAGGGACACCGCCCAGGTTGGCAGAAGGTGTGGGCAGAGCTCTGGGCAGGGGTGTGGCCTGAAGGAGGGGGCCTGTCCCTTACACACACACACACACACACACACACACACACACGCACACACACACACACACGCTGCTGCGCTCTCCCAGGACTGGTGCATCAGAGAAGACAAAGGTGATAAAACCCAAGCAAGGGACACCAAAGAAGGAGAAAGTTGGGCCATGGAGGGAGGTACAGAGCCAGGACTGTGTCCCAAGATGGCATGGTCACCACACGGTCACCACGCTGCAGGCATCCACAGCTGCCCTGCTGCGGC